GCATAACTGCGTAATTCAGACACCCCACGTAATTGTCTTTGCATCCTGTTACCGTTGTTTGTGTACCCAATTCATATTAAATAATTACTAATATTACACACAGAAAAGAGAAAGAAATCCACCACTACTACAGTCAGTCAACTATCGACTACACCTACCATCAGCCGCTCACACATGAGCGAAGGGTCCGCCAGGAGACAGTATTAGTTGTTGAACCCGCTTGTCACTGTTTGATACTCCAGTCCTTGATTAACGACACGTACTCTATAAAGGACGCAAGGTACCCTTGTCACTTAACTATACATACCGACCCTTTGATCGTTAGCGGCTACTGACTGACAAGGGCAAAGACGTAGCGATGATTTGTCTGTGTGCGAAAGGGTAGTCTACACGTTTCCTGACCTGTTGCGTAGCTTGCCAGACGTACCGGTGCCGAGTCCTACTTCCTCGTGCTTCTCCCTAGGTCTCTACGACCACCTCTGGCGACGGTCATGTCCGGAGCGGTTCAAATGCGGTCGTGCCGACTGTGATGCGCGTTCTGGACCTCGACCTGTCGTACCCCGGCTTACGGTGCACTTTCTTGCCCTTGTACAGTCTCCAGACTACCAGCTTACATTATCTGATAATCATCAATCTCCAAACACAGCGCACGCAAGTTCACGAACTGACTTAAACAATGCAATATAAACCGCTTCCAAAAACCATAACACGTGCATATCCCTCCACTAATCCCTGGCCACTGTTATATTCAATTAAACTAGTGTTCACAGTGATAATATAAGACTGGATGCAAACATAAACACACAACCTGTCCGGTAACGATACACGTGCAACGCGTGAACACCGTCTACTAGAAGCCTCTTTTCATGAAAGGTATGAAACGTGAACGTTACGGACATAGCTCGTCCGAGCAACCCACAGCACACACTAAGACCTAAAGGATTAACCCGATTAACCCAGGTTTACAACGGAGTAGAATAAGACAAACCGTACAAGGTCTTGTCCGCGAGTCAAAATCCAACCACCTGAGTCTTGTAACTACTTCTTCGTCGTTACTACCTCCTGCGCCGTCAGTCCTGCAGTACGTTTACTCATTCATCTTATAGTAACTTAAGAATCTGTCAGACACCCTAGTTGTAGTATTGAAATAAACTAACCTGTAACAATAAGTCTTTATCAAATTGCATTTTGGCTTATGACCTTAAGAAAGGTACTAATGTATTGAAGTGGCAACAGTTCTTTTTGACAAAAATTGAGCCTCGGCATTTGTTGGAAGGTTTAAAACTAATTAACAAAAGGATTTTAACGCATTTTTGTGATTTGAGATTTTACTGTGACTTCTCTAACATTACTGTACATCACTTTAAGGCCCTATTAATAAACCATTTTTATTTCACAATAAAATGAAAAGCATTACATATAAGATTGAAAAAACATTACGGTTTGTTATTTGGGATGTTAAACTGGGCCCAGGGTCTTCCACAACACCAGATCATTTTGGTGAAATAATGTGAATATGAAAGATTTATTCTTTTTATCCTTTGGACAAAAGTCCATATATCCCCACCTGTAAGTGAGTCCGGACAAAAGACTTGCGCCCTGTGTAGTCAAAGTTGCTCTTCATGAGGAAGTAGAGCAGATGGGCTGCGTCGCTGCGAATGGAGCTCAGCTTGGAGTTACAACACTTCAAGATCTCACAGCAGAAAGCAGCACACATGTCAGCGCGCCCCTCAAAAAAAGTGCAGGGAAACTAGAGGGTGAAGAAGACAGACCGATCGTCAGTAACAAGGCTTAGACCATAAAGCAACAACAGAGTATTGCTAGGGAAATCAACGCCTTCTCACCTTGTAGATGAAGGTGCGCAGTGAAGTGAAGACCTGCTTGAGGGCCGTCTCTGACTGATTGATCCGGAGGAAACAGAGGTGGACTTCAAACACCTTCTTCATCAGTGGACTGTGGCCGTGGTCTGAGCACAGCTGGGTCTGTGGAGGAAGAGAGTATTATTACAGAAACTAATTTAAAACACAGCAACCGAACATCACATTTAAATGTAACATAAAACATACATTAGTAAAACCTAAACACTGTATTTCAATTTATGAGTTAAGTAATTGTTTGACAAGTAAAATGTCAGGTATGTTACTTTGAATCCCATGATGAAGATGCTTAGCGTGTCCAGGACAGTCAGACACACTTCAGTGGCGATGTTAGCCTCCAGCAGAGACTGATTCAACACGTCTGCATCCGAGTGACTGTAGGCTGAAGGAAATAAAACAGAAAGCTGTAGTTGGTTCACCCTCACCATTTTCAAATATCATAAATGATATGATAATATAAGAGACCTGTATATATGAGTGTTAAAGGCAAAGCTATAAAATGTCATTATATGATGAAAAGCTTAAGTTTCATTCCAAACTTAAAAAATTGTTCTCTACAAAATCAACACCTTCTGTACAATGAATTGTAATTCGTTGGTGAGGCACATATGATGTGTACAAATTGTAGCAATAATTTAGTGTCAACATATTATCTTTTAATGAAATATATATATATATATATCATATTTTTTATGAAATACTCATTTTGGAATGAAACCCTACATGGTCTAGTTTTTTTGGTCAGAAAATGAAGTGTAAAATGAGGTTCAGAGCAGATATGCTGACCAGAGGAATGGAAAGATTGTCCAGTTAATGTCCAGTTATATTAATAAAGTAGACATGCTCTTAATTTAAACCAAATGAACAAAGCCAGTCTGCAAACTGCCTGCCAACCTGACACATTCTTACCATGGTCTACAGATATTCCAAGAATACTTGAAATCTTTCTTACACTGAAAACACAAAGAGACTCTGTTAAATCATGCCATTTAACAGACTGAGAGATTAAGCCCTGTGGATAATACCAATAGAATGCCACACACGACTACCTTAACCCTTATTAAATCTAATGTATGTCTTCTGAGGCCTTTTCAGCGAGCTGGGTTCAAACAGAGGATGAGAATGATGTTGATGATATTAAAAAGCATGAGGAGATTACACAGAGTGAGGCGGAGGGCGGTGGTCCGCTGGTGGAGGTTTGATGACAAGTATTGAGAACTTACTGTGGTTAAAAGTGTTTGCGTTATCCAGGCTGCTGAGCTGCTGTAAGCGGGCATGCATCATTCCCGCCCTGTTACGGGACACAGGCAGAGTCTGAGACTTCCGCTCATGTGCTACGGGTCCTGCCCCATCCTGGTTCCTGATGAGGAAACAGGAAAATGTTAGGTGGATGGCCGGTTAGTGAAGCAGGTTAGGGTGAATAATACGCTATTCTTGACACTTGAGTAGGGTAAAGACTACTCAAACGTTTTTATTTTTCTAAGTCTAATACCTAACTCCACTTAGTTCACTTAGTTTGGTTACTCAGTTTACTTGCTGAGTCATGATTTAGTTATTTGATCCCATATGCACACATCCATTGCAAGACTACACAAAATGCATTAAAAAAAGGCCTGTCCTAATGTATTTATTAGCTTCTGACCCTGGGAAAGTGTGACAAATAGTACATTTCCCCAAAGGTACTGTATCTCTAAACTATCTCTTTAACCAAATGTAATATGTTTCCACTTAAATTCAGTGAGCCCCCCCTTATACATTATATATGTTGACTCCTCGTGGGGAGGCCAGACTCACACATTGAAAACCTCTGGTCTAGTTAAATATTTAACTTAGGAGTTTTAAATGTATCATAATTAGAAAGATATTATTCGATCATGCAGTGAAGTTGTCCGGTTTATATTGTATTCCATGCAGTTCAATCATCAAGCAGAAGCAGCATTCGAGCAGTGAGTTACAGAAAACGTCATGCACATTAGGTGAACAGAGACAAATGCTTTAGATGATTTTAAAGCCAGTTGCTGTTTCACAGCAATGCAACTTGTGTCGAGTGAAAATACATCATGCATTAAGGTTGAGAGTCAGTTCCACCTTTAGTCTTACCCAAGCAGGAGAGGGCAGGAGCCAGGTTTTATTTCATTGTGTTAAACTTGCCAGCATTTAAACGAATAGAGATGGAAAGAGTGGTGGGAGGTTAGAGAGAGTGAACACCCAATGCCCTCTGGGAGTTGAGGCCAGAGCTCCCCCATGGTGGAGTCAGTACAGTGTGTGTGTGTGTTGGATTTTAAACACTCAACATACAGTCACACCCTTTGTCACACATTATGAATCGTTTTAAACTGGGTGATTAAAAATGAAGAAAATAAGTAGCTACATCATGTCGGACATAGACATTTAAATGGACACCAGAATTTCATTTATTTGTATCATTATGTTAAGGTATTTTATCTATATATCTTTAAAAAGACATCATAATATGTATCCATTAGAACTGCAGTTTCCATCCAAGCCGCTTTGACTATTGCTGGAGTTGCCAGGGAGTTTTCTTGAAACAATTGTGGAGAATCTCTTTTTAATAATATGAATGACATTTTCATTGTAAATCAATCGATAATTTGATTAAAAAAGACTTTCAAGAATGAAATTAATGAACCAGAGTCAGATACTAACAACAACATTACCTTGCAATGTATCTCTTCCCCATGTATTTGAACTGATGGAGGCACACTCTGAGAGGAAAGGAAAGTGAAAAATCAGTCACAATATTTTCATAAGCTTTACTCAGAATGTCATGAAAGCAATAGTAGACGTCTTACTCGACTAGAGTGAAGAAGTCCATTAACTCAGCAGGTGAAGCCTTGTTCCAGTATGTGAACAGAGCATCTGGAAAAAGACAGATTGACATTGAAGAGACAATTTGTTTTGTTAATGTAGACATGCGAGTAAGCTGAGTGTTCAAACATCAAGACAGAAAGATGGTGAGTGCATTTATTTAGGAGAGAGATATTACCTTCAGACATGCTTTTGAGCACATGTAAGAAGCACATGAGGAGGCTCTTGATCTCTGCCTGGTCCAGTTTATCACATCGCAGCAGGGAACTGCCCAGGTTTGAAGCAGCCTGGTTCTGAGGGACAAAGAATAGGGTCAGAAAGAAGACAAATATATTATTGTTTTAGGGATCTTTGTTCTGTCTTTCTCCTTTTGCTGGTTTAAGATAAACCAAAAGTTCTGTCTACAGAAACTAAATGGGAGTTTTTATTGTGTGATTTTCAAAAGGGAATTTTCCAAGGCAATTACAAATATATTAAGATTTTATATCCAGTTTTGTGGTGATTGTCCAACATCAAGAGACAACTGAGGCTTGAACCTGTATTGCATTCAAATACAAAATACATTGAGGGATATTTAGTAAGTGTTTTTTCTGATGGCCTGGGATTTCTGTGTTCAAACTACACTAGTTGTCATTCACTCAGATGTTGCAGGGCTCTATGCATTGTGGAAAAAAAACTGCTGGTGGAAAACAAACAGCATTTCTCCCAGCTGAAGCAGAGAGGAGGGAGAAAACTAAAACCAAAGCAGTGGAGCAGCCGCTCTACCACAGCGAGGGGTTGGCCACGCATCAAGCACGTTCCTTTGCCAGCAGTTAGTCTAGACCATATAACTGGCTGGGGATGACTTCATGGAAAGCATGAGGCCATGGCCATGGCTTCTTATTTTGGAGAGTGATTACTTCAGGGCTAAAGATAGTTTTCTCGGAAAGGTGGATACAAACTATACAGCTGTGGTGGAGTCAGTTTCATTTAAATGTGAGCAATAATAACACATGACTTGAGTGTCCTCCTTTTCCCCTTTAGCCTTTACACACACAGCATCTACCGCATGTAAAAACAGAAGATGTTTAATAGAAGATAAACAACACAAACACAGAGACAGTTAAAATCGTTTGTGTTCAAAGGACTTCTTCTCAGATTTAGTTGAGGGAGTTCTTTAGTGAAAGCAGAAAAATTACACAGCACACGTGAGAGGAACTCAAAAGGGGAAAATCCCTTAACTCTGCATGCTTATCAACATCTGGGGAAAAAAGCAAAAACAAACCCTGTGAGGCCCTGAACAGAATCTCTGCTTTATGGCACCAGAGAACAAACAGGCCAACGCCTGAGAATCATCTGGCAAAGAAAGGGCTTAGGGTTTAGGAAACTCACACACACTCTAACATTCCCAGATGGGACACTCCTAAGAGGGATGAGGACTTTTGTACTTGAAGTGAAATGATGGGCTGCAGGGCGCTCTCTGGCACACAGGGGACAGAAAGCAGGGAGAAGTCCATGGTGACACGCTTGGAGCGCAGGGAGAGCATGGACTCATCAGTTTCCATAAAGAAGCGCAGGACATTGACAGAGTGTCTCCGTAAAAACGTCTCCGTCTGCCACGACCAGATTAGGTGGGGGAGTTAATGGTACAAGTTAACAATAGGGGACTTTCTGGGGTACTTTGTCACAACAAGGGGACCTCTGTTATGTCTAAGGCACACTGAAAACAATGTCACAGGAGCCTAACATTGATTTCTAATACATTTTGTATGAAATGACTCGCACAGCCTCTTGCAGCACTTTCTGGGAGTTACCTTGTCCAGGGAGTTGCTCTTGTCATTGTGCTTCTCATGTAGGCTGTTTCCAGAGTCAGTGCTGATGAGTGAGCCGCGAGAGTCTGCGTGGCGAACAGAGTTAATGTTGGGCGTCGACGATGCGTGAGGTGAAGCTATCAAAAACAAAAAAGAGCAGTTTTATATTTCCATAAAACCAAAATGCTATATATTTATTATTTTTCAGGATCATCTGTCCACTCACATGTGCCAGAGATGACTCCAAAAACATCTTTGTGCAAGCTGGGGTCCAGAAAGGTGCTGGATCTGGGAGGTGTCATCAAGATGTTGGTAAGAAGAGAATCATCCTTTCCATTCTGAGGAGAAACAACAGTTTAATGATTAAAGAAAAACACATATTATATGGGGATGTATTAAGAAATGGAAAACTAGTACATACATATAAGTTGTTGGTCTTATGAGGGCTCTGTAGGTCCTAAAATGTCTTTGGTTGGTCATTTCAGTTAGCAGATTAATGTTTTAAAGATTCACTATGGCCTAGTAACAGTAAAGAAACCCTTTATTTTGTTATAATGAAATCCAAACTGTTATAAAAAAATATGACATAATATAAGATATGATGCAGATGTTAAAAAGTGTTTATTGAAAATAACTGAATATACTTTATTGTGCTAAAAGCATATCATTGCTGTATTTTTGACAGATATGTGTTGTGTGTTGCTGAGCATGCTAAATGCAATGTCAAAAAGAAACCACTAGGGGGCGCCCTTACATTGTTGGAGTGGTTGACGGTGAATGGAGATACTTCCTTCACATTCAGCCTGTTGACGTTCTCCTGGAGCAGACCAAACAAGGGAAAGTACAGGGTGGCCAACCTGGCCTGCTGGCTCTGCAAAACAAATAAATCATCTCAACAAAATATCTCAGGGTTACTCACGTCAAACACTGAAGAGAAGCCTCGGCTTACCTTGGAGCAGTAGCGCTCATCAAATGTGTGTTTCATCATCAGGTTCTTCAGCACATGGATGGCTATCTGACGGATCTCCCTGAACTCCTGCAGAGCTGTACTGACCTCCCTGAGCAGCAGCCCGACCAGGAAGTGGTTCTTACAGAAGTCATCTGTCAGCGAGTAATCCATCTGGAGGTCTGAGGGAGAGAGACGAGGACAAAGAGATTAGGTTTGGATGACAGAGAGGTTAGTGAAGGATGTGAAAGGTTCAATGAGTACATTTCTAAATGAACATCAATCAGACCAAATTAAATTGACAAGAAAACAGGAAAGCTTGGACGAGCTACAGATTATTGATGCTATTAAAACCTGGCGAAAAATCTATTATGACAATTGATTATTAGATGCTTTCAGCTATTGATCTATATGACGTTTTGAGTTGGCAGATTCAGGCTGTGTAACAGAGCTGCTGCTCCACATCAACAGTGATTATTTTGAAAAAGACAAATAGAATAAAAACTTTTGATTTCCAACAATATCAAACACAAGTAAAGCATCCCAAATCAGAAAAAGATCTCCCAGAATGGCGGTGAAATCAAGTTAAACGCACCGTTTTGTCTAATCATTAAAAAAAGGTATTTTGGAATCATTGTAATCATTAGTTATTAACTCCAAACCAATTTAAGATTTAAAATACTAACTGCACACTTAATCACCCATATTTACACACTCAGCTTATACACACATACAAATTATGAATCAGTATCTTTCTGTAAAGTTTTAGAAAATAGATAAATACTGCCACCTCAATAAGGAAGAAGCAACATTTGGAAATAAGTGACTAAGTTCAGATTTTGGAGCAAATCATGTGACCTTCTCTGGTCATGATTGAATGATTAGATTGGAGTCTGCTCTTTTTGGAGCAGACATGAAAGCAGCACATCCTCACACCTACCTACTAGAGTATCACATGACTCCACCGTATCATTTGGAGATAATAAAGCTAATTGAGGAACACAAAAAGGACAAAGCATGTTCTGTAGAATTAAAGACTGCAGAAAACCTGTTTCACTGCTTTTTAAATGCACTTTTATTTAATATCCATTAGATAAAAACAATTACAGCTTTTACATTTTTGCTGGCTTTTTTACAGTTGTAGCGTAAACCACTTTTGGTTTGATTTCAATATTTTTCTACTCAAACACATGCAATGTTAGCGAACTGGCATTTAAGCACTCTACCATCAGGCATGGTACTTCAACATCATGTACATTTGATGATCTCCTCACCTTGAAATCTCATTATCCTTCCCTTTCCAAAAGGCATGGGCAGGTTTAAGGGGACGTAGTGCTCGTGGTTGCACACCACTCGCAGAAACTCAAACCTGAACTCAAACAGCGTCTGCATTCAGGAAAGACAGAAACCAGGGAGGCCGCTTTAATACATCACTCAAACACAAACTTGTCCAAAACTTGCCTGAAGCACACCCTGAAATCCTTCATTAGGGCGCTCGCAAGAAATATTACAAAACTTGTCTCCAAATGTGTTAGTATAAAATCTGTAACTGTTTGTACTGTGTACCTTTGGGTCTCCAGGCATAAAACAGTTGAAATAGTGGTTGATCAGCTTGAACACAAAGCCTCTGTCCATCAGGTTGAAACAGCGCTACAGGAGGATGAGGAAAAATAAATAAATAAATATACACTCGTACATTTTAAAACACACGGTTAAAACCATGCCAGATACAGTTACTGTAGCCCCTGACCTTGATGAAGACCGCCAGACTGTGGTTAGCGTTCCTGGCAGCATCGAGGTTGTCTTTGTATTTCTGAGTGATGTGTGGCATCATCATGTTGACCAGAGTCTCCACAGTGTGATGGAAGGCTGCTGAGAAGCGCTGATTCCTGGACAGCTGCTTAACACATCACACAAGTTCGTACAAAAGGTATTATATACCATAAAACAGCCCAGTTTAAAAGAGTAGTATGGTAATACTTCCAATGAAAAGACCAACATCAACCATTCATAATTAACATATATTGCTTTTGTAGACCAAGGGTGGCCAAATGTTTATGATTGTAGGCTGTATACAAACAAATTATATCAGGAGTCAAGGAGAAAACAGAAGTCAATTAATAGTTGTTAACCTGTTAAACTGCAAATAAGGGTTTCTAGACCAAATAATCAAATGACATTTCTAAGTTTGCCAATACGTAACCCAAAAAGTTCAAAGTACTTTGTATATCTAATGCATGGCCCAAGTCCCCACTTATATTATGATGTGTAAATCTCTAAAATGAGTAAAGTTGAAATAGACAGAATTAGCCAAATATTGGTTTCTGTTCATGGCCTAAAGTGCCCACTTAAAATATTATCTCTCTGTGCCATATACTTATTTTTTGTCCAAATCAATCACTGACACTTTGGTCTTTAGCAGGATTTGTCTGTAGTACAGAATATCCCCAGCCTTGTACTTTAACCCTAAGCTCACAGTCTCCACTGAGGCCTCCACTTAAGAGGCCAGAGGCAGTTAGACACGGGGATGTGGTTGCTTATGGGGTACGAACAAATGCAGCCAATAAAACTGCACAGTAGTGCGGGACAGTCTGTGGATACATAACACTTTGAATGTGGTACTGCGGCTGTCCACAAGACGTGGCATGTTGTAAACCACAGTAAAGAACCCAAGCCTTTATGAAACAGACACCCTGAGTCAAACACACACATGTTGTGGCAGACTTACCTTCACTTTACAGCTCTCTATCAAGTACTGAGCCATGGACTTCACTAAGGCTTCAAAGAAATACCAGGAGTACTGCGAGGCAGACAAACATAAATCAGAAAACAATAAAGAGGACATTCATGGCAGTTATAATCACACACCATATACCCTTTAAAAAGTAGAAATATGTTACCTTTAGGAGTTTGTTACTCGTGAGGAAGTCAGTGGAAGGCTTCAAGATGGCAGTCATGGCTTTAGCCAACTCCTCGTGCACTAATCGGTTGGAGGAGGATGTTTGTGGCTCAGACTTAAATACAAACTGTAGGAGACACAAGCAGAGAGAACTTTGAGTACAAGCACTAACATATAGACATTGAAATGTGACATATGGTTTGTGATTTTTACCTTTACATATGACCTCAGGTAGTGCTCCAACCCCTCCTCGTGGCACTGGGCTACAATGTGAATCATGACTCTAAAACAAAACAATTGCAAAACAAAATGTGTGTTAGGATATGGTCCTGAAAGAAGCTGACACAGCAGGAGGCATCACTTATTAATAGCTTATGGAAATAAATGTTGATATTTATCAAATTTCCCATGAATATCAGCCATCTTCAGAGTTTTCTTTTGACATTTTAATCATATTCATTTAAGTGCAATATATCAACTTGTGTATTGTTATTAGCATAAAACAACTATGATGTTGTTAAGAACAGGGTTATCCCAGGTAAACTTGCCTGGTTACATTGACTGCTACATCCTCCTGGGTGGCACTGGTTAGCACCCTGAAGAGCTGATTCAGGGTGGTGGGCAGGAACTTAATCATCACATGGCTCTCCATGGCATGCAGGCTCTGAGGGTAAAACATTGCAGATATATGTTTATGCAGAGTTTGAGTGCATGTATAATGAGGTGAATACGTGGGGAAAGCAATGAAATAATTTTCTAGCACCACTTAAAAACAGAGCAGAGAAGGCTAAAAAGAATATGCAAAAAAAAACGAATTCTAATAACAACAAGGGGAGGAAGAGGACATAGATGAAAAACAATCTGCTAATTACCCACAGCGTATGCTTCAGTTGCCGTTAACATGGCAGTGAAGATACTGGAGCATCATACTCGTGTACAGGAAACTAACATAGGCGCTGCCAAGTCATTTGGACAGCTGCCAATCAACATGGCTGACCTGCTGTTTGACCCTCTGGGTATTGTTCATGTTCTCTGCTGTGTTTACATTTGCACCCAAGAGATGCATTGGACCAAGTGTTGCTCTGCATGTCTATCTCTGCCAGGGGAACAATGAACTGATATTCCCAAGGACTGGAATAAGAGTATGAGATCGAAAAAGATCCTGAGCTACCATGGCAAAAGGATGTTTGCACGTGAAAAGGAATTACATCTCCAGAAGAAAAATCTCTTCCCAAACCGTCCAGAAGAATGCGCTGTTGGCAAGCCGCAGCACAAAGCAGAACATTAATCTCTCTGCTGTTCAGCTTTAACCAAGTGTGACTGTCTGCGGTTTTACGGGAGTATGAGCTACGGTTAGCAACAAAATAAAATTGAGAAGACAGTTCTGACCTTTCCCTTACAGATATATCAAATACCATTCTGTTCAGAGTTAATTCCCAATCATACATTTATTCATCCTTGTGCACTCAGTTACACAGCATATGCCAAAACAGAAAAGTAGACTTTATGTCAACATTAATGATTGTGGTTTAAAACATAGCCCACACAGTGTAGCACAAAAAAAAGGCTATTTCAAGCATGTACACCGAATGCTTACCAAACAAATGACATGTTTTACGTTATCTCAATTGGCATGTATTTAAGTTACTACCAAATGAATGGCTTAATTCTTATTGGTTTACCTTCAGGTATTTGACCAATTCTCCTCCTGGCACCTGGGGTGCAGCTTCAGTGCTCTGACAGTGATCAAAGAAATTGTGCAAATGTTGATCCTATGAGAAAAAAAAGAAGGTCAGACTGTATACGTTTATTCCATTAAACTGCATTTAATTGAATCCACATCCAAAGTAAGAAGGTATGCAGATCAGACAGGTACTACACTCACAGTTTGTTGAAAACCGAACTAACCTGAGTGTAGACAGTGGACACGAGGTGAGTGGCAACCTTAAATAAAGGCTTGCCTCCATCCACCCATTTGACCTCAGGTCCTGAATGCTGTAACACAAAGACAAATCTTTCTTTCAATAACTCAGAATATATCCTGCAGTGAGTTCATGTCAAAATAAAACATCGATTTTTCCTATTGGAGGTTTTGGTTTTTGGCTTGGCATCTCCAAAACATATTATTAAATCAGTTTTGCACTAAATAATGAAAATAAGAGTTCAGCACATGAACTTTTGAGGCCAAGCCATCATTGCTTCACTTCTCTACCTTGCTGGCCCCCTCCTGACAGCCGAGGTATCCAGCAGGCAGGTTGGCAGCCACAGGGATCTGGCTCTCATTCATGGTCACCCGGCCATCTTTCAGTAGGGGGAGCCAGGCGTAGCCCACTGAGAGAGGAGACCAAGGCAAAGTCAAAGTTTGACACTTCAAGGCAGTCGACATTTACAAAACACAGATATATCTTTTTGGTATTTTTGTGATCTGGCAACGCTATGAAAAATTATTCGAGATTTGGTTGCAGTGTGTTACCTTGAGTCTCAACCAGGTCTCTCTTTTTGGTGCTGGCCTTGTTGTTACTTTCACAGCTGACGTGGTAGAAGGTGAAGAGCAGATGGTGTTTTTCGTGGAGCTGGGTTGGCAGCTCAATCTTAAACTAAGGAATAAGAGATAAACATTCAGTATTTGATTATATGGACTTAACTTTTTGTTTTTATACATTTACTGCAGTGTATCTTACCTCATCGTAGAACTCAGGGTTATGCTGGTGATGCAATACTGCAGCGAAGGCATTTTTGGTAAACAAGGGTCCTCCAGGTCGGCCATAGATGCACTGTGGAATAATAATAATAAAAGCTAGTTGGCTCCTGTGACTGGAGAGTTTTGCTTTTTTTGGGATTTGGAAAAACGTCCAGGAATGATTTGAGTTTACCTTTAGTGAAACAGCCTCCTCCTCATCTGAGTCCTTGAACTCAATGCAGACAGCTACGTTTCGAGCCTAAAGAAAGACACAACAGACCCAGTTAGCCAAACTACGGTATTAGTGAAGAGGTGCTGTTACTAGTTTAGACGACAAGAAAAAGGGAGAGTCGTTCCAGTAATAATATTTAATTTGACTGTTTAACAGAAAACTGTGAGGCAACATATGGAGGAAAAAATCCTCAAATATCCTCCTCCTGTGTCAATTAACCTACACATTAAAGATTTGTGTTACCTTTGCAAATGACTTTTGGCTGTCATACTTCAAGTGCCTCGGGTACACATAGAGGTGATTGTTGTAGATGGTGAAAGGCTGAGAACATTTGGCTAAGCACGGCACAAACTCCTCCACTTCAAAGAAGATGTTGGTCTTCTGGCTGACTTCAAACTGCTTCACAGGAATGTAGGATGAGGTAACACAATCTATATACAGAAGCAGGGGGGAGAAGAGACCAAATAATCAGCCTGCAGACATCGTGACAGATCGGCTGTGAGCAGGAACAGCTTTCATCTCTCATGTTGGCCGCAAGGAACACATTCAGAGGCCTTACTTGTCAGGTCGGGGGCTACATTGTCAATAGTAACATCAAGGTTTCCGAGGATTACAGGCAGCTTGGCCATTTTCTCTGGCCTGAGGAAGAGAAAATAAACTCCAGTTAAACCTTTGCTATCATCTTCAAATAGTATATATATACACACACACCACATTCACAGATGTGGGCAAACATCTAACTTTTGAAAACCCAACAACATTTGTGTTCCACATTTGCCTTTCCAGAGCATCTGTAAGACTACTTATACGGTTTCCTTTGAGGGATACTAACTTTCTGAAATCAGCCAGCAGTTTGAGCACATCGTCATTGGAGAGCTTGTTGCTGTCCTGTCTGTACAGAGGGGAGAAACGAGCACTTTTGTCCAATGTCCCTGAAGCATCTTTGAACAAAGTCCTGCAAGAAGGAAGAACAAGAGTCAGGAAGGTTTTTATTGTCCTGAAAACCCTCATGTTACACTGTTTGAATAAGAAAAAGTACTAGGTATCATATCATAGTACCATATTTTATTAATCTATATATTTGCTCGATTAACCAATTCATTATTTAGTTTGTCAAAAAACAAACTACTAAAAAACATCCATCCCATTTTCATAGAGCACCAATGAGACATTTAAAACAAATTAAATGTATACTGATACAAAACAGAGAAAGCAGCCAATCTTCACATTTCAGAAGCTAAAAATAGTGTTATTTCTGCTGTAAAAAACAAATCAATTCATTATCCATATGGTTAATGTGTTATTGAAAATAACCCCCAATGATTAGAATGATTAAATAATGTTTAATTATAACAAAAATATATATTTATTTTTTGTCAATGCTTACTTTTTCACTATGTAGTAAATAAATTGTATTTAATTATAATACTATGATATTTGATTTATATTTTCAAAGCATTCAAATCACTACTGTGACTGTGTGTTTGTATGGGCTGTGATTCTGGTGTAAAGTACACAGAACATGTTGCTGAAAACTGATGGAAAAAAAGCAATGATTAATAATAAAAAGAGAATAAATACCTTGCTGCCCAGGCAAAAGGCATCCTGTACTGCCCCAGCCGGCAACATGCCAGCTTTGCATTTTTCAGGACCTTCTGTGCCACCTAGTGGAAAACATGAACACAGTGTGAGCTGAGCTTCATCACTTCGACAAACTCTCAGCCCTGCAGCACTGTAACATATTCAGCACGCTGCCACACAGACGCAAAGCACATTTTTCTGAACTGAATTTCATTACTCCACACCACGGTCCCCTCAGGGGGCACAACCACATTTGTTCAGCCAAAGTCAATGCTTGTGTTAGACGTCTTTGTGCAACTGGTCAGCACATAAAAACAAGGATGATTATCTGTGTATAATGTGGAATAATATGGTGGAATCTGCTGAGTCTGGGAGACTTGCTGCCCCGTGTTGAGGACAGTGAAGGGAGTTCGGGGTCGGGTCAGTACCTTGGTGGAGTCTGAACTCTTGGTGTACGGCTCGGCACAGTGGTTTATTCCTCCCTGCAGCACCTTCTCTATGCGAGCCACCAGGAAGATATCTGGGTGGGGGCACGTTACTGAGAATACACCCTGTGGAGACCATGAAAATGTTAGAATTTCCATAATGTGCACTTTCACATTTGAATATAAAACAGGAGACACATTTATGTTGGGAAGAGCAATTACGATGTTTTGTTTATTCTAGAGATGGCAATTTCTGTTTCTTAGGACATAACTAACAATTATTGGCTGAATGACTGTCATAAAATATACATTTATGTACATCAGTAGATGAATCTTAATGACTTCACATTTGTAGTTTCTAAGAAATTCAACATCATTTGTAATAACTTTCGTGAACCCCCTCCTTTCCTGTATAGTACAATCATAAGGTCTACATTTTATGTTTTCCTAGTGGTTTTAAATACCTGCAAAACTAAAATAATTGTATGTGGTTAGTGATCATTTTCAAAAAAAGGTGGTAAACATTGCAAACATTATACCAGTTAAACATCAGGGTGTTAGTATGTCATTGTTAGCATGCTGATACAAGCATTTTGTCCAAAGTGTCACTGTGTTCAGTAAAGTGTCACAGAGCCACAAGCATGGATGTTATAAAGTTTAAAGTTTTTCTCTGTATTTTCTGTACCTGTCTCGGATACTGCATCGCGGCCTCTGGCACCCCATGGACTAACCGCTGCCCTTCAGGGTGGGTGTCCCCTCCCCCGTTCATATACTGACTGGTGTTACTGGGCAGCATGCCTCGTACAGACGGATGGTTTAAGTCCACGTGGAAGTCCGAGGAGATCTTCCTGCCGTTCTGGATGTCAAACAGTGACAGGGTGACATAAAATGGCTCCACCTGGAAATGAAAGAGAGTAGCAATTGAGTATTGTACAGATGATGCTGATTTTTTAACTTGTGCATTTTGTCAACAAGGCTGCTTACACACTATAACTTAAAGAACATAGGAACTGCATTAAAATTAAAACTTAATAGGTGCTCCAACAGCTGTAAAACAGGACTCTAAATAGCATATGTTATACACTTTCACAATCACTTACTGTGTTACATGCAACGTTTCACTCAGCAAACTAAATAATGAATGACCCTATGGGCAAAGTGTTATTTTCAGCGTTGTTTAGTTTCACATCTGCACAAAATGTAAAACTCTAAATATATTACTACTTTACTAAAATGAAATAAAACTCCATAAAAATAAATGTCATCTTACAGTCGTTGAACAGTGTGTGTGTGTGTGTGTGTGTGTGTGTGTGTGTGTGTGTGTGTGTGTGTGTGTGTGTGTGTGTGTGTGTGTGTGTGTGTGTGTGTGTGTGTGTGTGTTGTTTTGACATGTTGATAGACTGTTTCTGTAAGGAGGCAGAGCAGGACATCAGGCTCCCTTATACAGATTGCCAACCATTACTGAGCCTCTAGCCTGGTTGCTATGCCAACAACAGTCCTTCCGCGGCTCAAATAATGACAGGAGTTCATCCGGCTGCTCTAACAACGCGTCTCCTGCATCTTTAGTCAGCCGGATAATGCTATTTCTGTTATTTAGGGCCTATTGAGGCCAGAGAGAGATCAGCCTTACGTTGGTGGTGGGTCCCTCCTCGTTCTCGGCCACACAGCTTTGCAGGTTGAATGAGAGGTCATTGCAGTTCACCAGCACACGCTTTCCAAACTTCTCCTCAAACTGCTTCACATCCGGCTCTATTCCTGAGAAATCTAGTTTCTGAAGACAGCACAATGGAAGGTATTTCATTTCATTAGAAAGTGTCAGGTTGGATCTCATTTCCACACGGGACTAAGTGAACTAAAATGTGCTTTAGGTTTATTTACCTGTGTGTCGGGGTCCAGGGTGAACAGCTTCAATCTGGTCTCGTTCCTCATCCTGGACTCGATATCTCTTGCACTCTGAGGAGGAGAAAGGTATTTTTTAAATGGATCCAAACCACGAACTGTCTGAAACGTTAAAAGCAACGTCTGAGACATTTCCAGTCAGTTGGTTTTATCATTATGGCTTCATATTTTACAGGCTGATCACACTGGGCAGACTCAGTGGTGAGGGTCAGGTGGTCCCGGCACACACTTCAGAGCAGCACACTGTAACCTGTCAAACTGTTCCCAGTAAACTCTTACCACCAGTTTCCATGCACATATGGATTTACTATTGCGTGCCACTCAGCACTGTAACAGCATGAGAAGCTGAAATAAAAGGTTTGCAGTCTGTAAGTCATCAGTCAGTTAATCATTTAGAAAAACAGATGTTTTTATCCTTGAAATGTTTTATAATGCTTGATGCAGGTCTCATGAAGTAAAAGCATGTGTTGGTTTTGTCCACTAGCGGATCTCTTGTGTTTCTATTTTATTTGTATTTACTATTTTAACTATTTTATCTGTTTTATTGTGTTGCACTGTTGGAGGAGCCTGTGACCTAAGATTTTCATTGATATATCTATACTGTAGCTATGTACACATGACAATAAAAGCCTTGAATCCTTGAATGCATGTTTAAAGAAGACACTACAGCAGAGGTAAATAGCCTAAACAACCTGTGAGGATCCACGTTTCTTCTTCCATGAAGAGGATTTTTTAAGTGTTATGTTTCAATAAGTAAATTATATTCAAGGTTCAAGGTTCTTTATTTGTCATACGAACATAGCTACAGAGTAGTTATGTCGATGACAATCTTAGGTCAAAGGCTTCTCCAACAGTGCAACACAATAACAGATAAACAGAAAAATATAGTGCAAGTAAATATTAAAAAGTAAATACAAAAAGGAAAATAGTTTTAAAAAAAGTGAAATTGTGAAATAAGAGTCTATATGAAAGCTATTGGAATGATATATTAGATAAATAGATACATAATTACTAAGTAGCAGATCAATGTTATGGATGTTGTTTCAAGAGTTCAGGTGTTTAACAGTCTTATTGCCTGTGGGATGAAACTGTCTCTGAATTTATGAACAAATGTTGTATATGCTATATATATATGCTATTGAAGAAATATTGAGAGAATGAGAAAAATATATGTGGTATAAATTCAAAACATTTTTAGAAGTATTTGTTTTCTGAAATACTACGTTTAAACGTGCTAAGGAAGCATTATCTAATTATAACGTCTGGTGGGTTTGGGAGAAATCTGCAGACACAAATAGATAACGTACAGTGAGATAAAAACCTATGTGTATATTTTTTCCCCATAAGTCTGACAGTGATTAATTTCAGATCAGACCTACAAAAACAAATGACCAACTGAGAAATTAGGTGTGTAACCAGCAACCCTTAAATCCAAATCCAAGCCACATGTTTGTGGCAAGAGGTCCTCTTCCTTCAATGAGGACCAGAGATTTCATGCTGCAGCTCCATGAGATACTTTACTGAATGTGTGAGCACCAGCTGAGAGAGGAGGACCTACCTGAAAGCTGTCCATGCTGCCAGAGGAGCTGTCGGACTTTCCAAGATCATCATCTAGAGGAAAAAAGAAGACACCATTTGATGCAGGCGAAAGTTTGCAAAGCATAAACAAAACCTCCTTGTGTTTTTAAATCCTGCTTAATCACTTTCTGACGAGAAAGTTCAGTAAACAGTAATTCAGCTGCACCTGAATCAGTAGGATTGAGATGGAGATACAGCAGGTCTCAAAGGTACATTTATGAAAGCTCGGAGATCACCTCAAGAAGAATTGTGTTTTCTCTGATGCGCAGTGTGATTAATAAAAGCTGAGGAGTTAGGGAAGATTAGTGGGCCGTTTTGTTCAAAAGCATTCAGCCTTTTTCCTCCACGGCTAAGCCTCCTATGAGACAGGAGGTGAGTAAAAGTCTGGGTGGTCTGGTATCACATCACTGCAGGGCAGGGAGAGGTAGAGGAGAAGTGAGCCGCGAGAAGTGAGTGGATGTTGATGAGAATGATCCTCAGGTACAGTATCCCAGAATAAATATACTGATAGTGATGAATGCGTTAAATGGATTTTCAATATCTATGATTATTATTTAGGATATAATAACTGAGGGTATTTGCATTTTAGAAGCTTTGTGTACAATATAGGAACACTGTAACTACTCAAATTAAACAGCATTAGTAAAGTTATCACATTTTTAGGTCTGAAACATGGTTATTTTCATTATGGATTATCCTATTTTTCTTAATTAATGTGTTGTATATAACAAATATGTGGAAGATGTCCATCACATTTTACCAAAGCCCAAGCTGAGATATTTAAATGTCGTGTTTTTTCCAACAAGCAATAAAAAACTCAAATATATTCAGTTTACCGTCAGAAGATTCAGGAAACCAGTCAATTTCAAGAAGTATGAACTGGACCTTATTTTCTTAAAAATGTACTCAAAGAAATTAATTAATTGTCAAAATAGTTTTAGTTAACATTTTTGGTTGATTGACTAAGCAATTCATTATCACTGAAGCCTTCGCATTTCAAATTAAAAGTACAGAAGTGATAAAGTTGTCTAAACTATGACCAAAAACTTAAAGAAGAAAAACTCTTATATTATTCTCATCATTCTGCTAGCGTCAGCACACAGACTGCTTATGTTTGACATATTTTAGTCTGCAAAAAACTATTTCATAATTAAACCACAGATATTTTTACAAGACTTTGAAAACACATAATATTCCTTATCATGAACTGGATAATATTTTGACTAACAAAAAATGATATTCAATTTTATATTTGTGTTCTTTCAGACACTGTAAAAATATGAACAGACAGACAAACACACCATCATGAATGTCTCCATTCCTCTTCTCTGCCATGGCGATCTCAAAGCTGCTGTGCAGGATCTTGTTGAGCAGGTTGATCCAGTCCTCCATCTCTGCCTCGCTTTCCGAGGCCAGCAGGTAGGTGCTCTTATCCTGCATCTTCAGCTCGAAAGCAAACCGTCGAACCTTGGTGTTCTGCAGCCACAGAAAGAAGAGACAAAGGGGGTGTTAAGAAATATTTAAATAAAACAGTTAAACTTAAGATACAACATAATTCATATTTTTTATGCCGTAAAGGTAGCAGCATTCATGTTTGCCATATATAAGTACCTGATTTGTAATGATTGATTTACTTTGTTGAGTTTAAACTAAACTATAATAACTACAATAACCACCCCAAAGTTATATGCCGCCACCAACGATCCAAAGTGCCCTTTATATCCATGTCTGTCCAACTGGAAATGTCATCACTTCATCTTTGATCCTAGATAATTGTGTGATTTTCTTATAATGAGCCTATGAATTATTGAGATATGGCCAAAAACATGATGTAAGGTTACATTGACCGTGACCTTTGAAATGGACCTTTGTGAGGAAATTCCCTCAACGCGTTCCTGAGATATCGCATTCACAAGCAAGGGTGGATAAGCCAAAAACGTAATGCCCTCTGCCTGGCTACATAAAAAATAAATAAATACCCAAGTGTGGATATTGCAGTCTTTTATCTCACTATCCAAAGCCAACATCTAACAACTGTCGGCTCATCAGAAGGCAGTACATACAATCTAACGTTTACGATCTAAATCATAGCCTGTCTCATTTTAATTCTACCCTCATACTTCCTTGTATAATGCAGTTTGAGCCTGCTAAACAAAAACAATATACTGAGACCGTTTGGCTCCAAACATTTATAAAATGTGAGTCACTGTTTTGAAAAGAAGTGGGAGGCTAACTACAGTTTTAATTGAACTGCCACAAAAAGCTCATGGACAATGTGAGGGAGGGAGGAACAGATTATTTCCATCTGCTTAACAAAACCTCCCTCTCTGCCAGGACCACAGCAGAGAAAACGAGCTGGATCTGCAGCGGGACTATGACCTCAATGATGTCACCGGCCCATTCAGGCTTTTATGTCCCATTTGTTACCTATAACTGCTGATTCAGCTACAGTGTGTCCATGATAGTGCGTTTTATTAAAAAATGAATTCAGTAAATCTTTAGCTGACCATAGAAGTCAGCTCATTACTGTGAGCACTCAGTGGATTGTTATGCTTTGGTTATCACTGTTGCTGGCTGAACAGAGGGGGAGTGATAGGGAGGCAGACAGGCCGAGTCATGGAGAGGGGGAATCAAACTGGACTCTTGATAAACAGTCTGATAAGTAGGAGGACTGGTCTCTGTTTCCTAGACAAAACAGCTGCACACATCCTCGGGGAAACGAGTGGACAACAAAACGAAAGTCATTTTTTATGATATTATTAGCATCTGTGTTCTAAGGAAAGAAAAAATAGGAAAAATGAAGGTTTAAATCCTCAACATTGACGTTTTAAGCGCGTTTTGCTCCTTGTTAACCTACAGGGACTGCCCTCCGAGACCTCATTAATATGTGGGAAATGCTTTGTGCGTTTGAGCATATGTTGGCATCTTTACAAAGGGCATGGAGCAGCTTCAGGCTCAGTATGACGTCACTGCACAGGCCATTACAGCTGCAGAGTTTAACATCTGCATCTACACAGTCACTGCTGGTTGAGTACCAGTTGCATGATGTTTGTGACTTTAACAGAGCAGAAAGCTCATCAACTGTCTGTGTTACACAGGAGGCTGTGCAGTGAATGCTGCTAAATCACTGCAGAAAATGAATCCCCAACAGACTGGTTTATTGAATACAGTACAGTTCTGTATCAGCGTATAAGCAAGTGAATCGCAACATACTCTAAGCATCTACTTAATTTGACTTAAAACCACGAGACATAATCCACAGGTTTGTTTTTTTATGATATGTACCGTACATGTCGTGTACACCCTTTCTGAACACATTTCCTTTTTAATTTCCTTTTTGTATATGATTATGAACTTTATTTCTAGTTTTCATTAGCAGAGTATAACCAATTTATTTTGTAGCAATAAATCTAATATTATTCGTATTGTGTTTAAAGTAATGTTTTTTGTGATAATATAAAGACATACAAAAATGTTCTGTATTTTCTGGCCTTTTCTTAAAAATGTATATAAATGGCACAGAAAAGCGGCAATGTAATCCTCTAATGTTTCCAGCCTAGCCCAATTAAATCAGGAGGTGCCTCCAAAAAATATAGAAAAAGCATTCAAACATTTAGAGTAAATCTCTCCTCCTTGTAGACATTGGCCTGATAGCTATTCCCATCCACTGATAGGAATCAGACAGTCCTGGAAATACACTCAAATAATATTTGATAGATGCCAGCTGAGTGCCTCTTCAGAACAATCAGCTGCTCTCCATCTATTGAGCTGATAGACAGGTGATAATGCACCCAGTGAGTCTTGGCCTGCACCGAGATATCTGCACATGGAATCGATTGAGGGGCTGATGGAAAGTGCACGGAAGTGAGACATCAGCATTCACCTTGTTTTACAATGTGAGAGTCAGCAGTAAAGAATAACCTTGGGAAGGAGAGCTCCGGTTTCAGGGAAGTGAGCAACAGCAGCAGCAGAGAAATGTATGTTCAACTTTCACCTTTTATAGTTTACATGTTACACTACAAGTCGGAAAATATGCTCAGAGAAGAATTGTGAAGAGGAAGTTGGTATATCCGTATTTCAGTTTATTTCCTGTAAATGGTGTTTTAATATCCATGAGGGACCAGGCCACAGGATATCCCGTTTGGTAAAGTAGGTCATCCAATTTAACTACAGTTAAAAATGTACTTCCTTTGTGCCACAGAGAAATATTTCAGAGCGTACCTGAACCACACCCATACAGGAGTCCAAGAAGATGGTTCCTTTGGGCTCTTTGGAGATCTTCTCATCTTTGTAGAAGTTTAAATTATAAGAGCCGTCCCCGAGCTGAGTAAGATGGAAATACCTCCTCTTGAATGACTGGAACAGAAAAAGGAAATACCATTCAACTTCCATTTATTGGAGAAAAAAAAAGCAATGTTTTGGTCAAAACAATCTCAAGTCTTCTACTCTTTATACAGTATAAGTGTAAGCTGCCAGGAATAATAAGCCTTCCTGTAAAAAGGCAACAAATATTGATGGATTTAGAGGTAGGGGGTAATGCATGCTGTACTGAGAGAAAAAGCTTTTGAAGCAAAATTGTGACTGTGAAATATATAAACAAAATGGATTTAGGGAAAAACATGTGATGGAAATTATAACTAAAATAATGAGATGATAATGTTTTTTATGTATAATTAGTAATAATGATAATGGGTGATATTTAAGTTAAGATAACTTTCACTGCAAACACATCAATGTTAACATACATGTCACATTTTTCTTTTTATTAATTTAAATACACATAAAACACAAACTTTTTCCAATTAAAGCATTGTCGCTGCAGCTTATTTTTATTATAGATAAATGTGTCAATTATTTCTGGAATTGTCTTGTATATAAAACGTCAGAACTTCTCATCACATCTTACCATCACAAATGAGACATCTATAAACCTCCAAAATCCAAAGCTATTTTGTTTGTCATAATATAACACAAAGAAAACCAAATCCACACATTTTAAGGTGCCATTTTTATTTTTCCTTAGATAAAATATTCAACTAATTGACTAATGGTTTAAATTGAAAATCCTGTGTCTCACCCTCATGGTGACGCTGATGGCACTGTTCATGTTTCCTTTGTACAGCCAGCCATGTTTGGAAAACCCGCCTTTCTGGGATCCTAGGGAGGCCGTATCCTGCAGGGGACAAAGACACAAGACAATGAAATACACACTCATACTGCAAGGAAAAAAAGCCATTGAGTGTATCATTGAAACTTGCTTATCATATTCTGTCCTCTCCACAAATGTACACATGTAGTTCACATTTTTTCCATTTTGGAACAAGTCTTAATACTTTTATCAACACAAACTTGTCCCCTGTTTCCAATAAATTACCAAAAAGCAGAGAAAGCACATTCATATAAAAATGATGGTTTTGCTTGAAGCAGAATGTGAGTTATTACAGATATTCTTTCAGTAGATCCTCATATATTGACATCAGATTGAACATGCTTTTAACACACGCTGCCAAAGCCTCGCCTCATTTTGGAGAAAACCCCTTGATGTTGTGGTTTGAGCTGACACAGAGCAGAACAAGCTGTAGGTCCATCTCAGTGCAAACAAGCACGCAGACGCACATTAAACAAACTACGACTGTTAAACTAAATAAATATCTCTGTCTTCACAGCAGATCTATGACACACGGAACAAATCATCTCACACTCAAAAGGAGGGGAGCATGAGATCACACACGACAAAATAACAAAGCTTCTAAGATCCGACGGCTATAGTGATCTGTAAAAATAAACCAATTAGGAGGGTAATGAAGGAAGAAGCCCGGTCCTGGTTTGGATCAGCCCTGTCATTTACAGTAACACTTCCTGGCTTTAAGAGAAGACAGTAAGAGAACCGTATTCCTGAGAATTTCACAAACAGAGAAGATTGCATTTCAAGATGTCTACATCCTGGTCCAGCACTACTTCTTCTTCTTCTTCTTTTTCCTCAGTCTACTAAAGTAAAATGGGATTTAAAAGTGCTGGGAGGAATTCTAATATTTTCATGTGCCTTGTGGAGTGATTTAAAAAGCAGCTGGAAAGGTAAATGTCTAGACAGAATCACTGGTTTCTTTCTCTATGAACTCCAGAAAACTAGAAACATCTAAAAAAGAAAACTAAACTCAAGTCAGACAAAGAGAAGATGAACAAAATCTCACAACCAATGTTGCATGTGGTCCAAGAACCACCACAAAGAACAATTATCTTAGAGGATGTATTTAAACGTTTTTTCAAGCTAATTCCCAGTTTATAAATCCTGTTGGAAGGAGTAGAGGCCAGAGAGAGGGCTTGAGGGAATGAGGAGTGATTTGATCGTGTCAGGTCCTGTCAGAGGTGAAGCTGACTGTGAGGCTGAGCAGGACAAATCCTGACCTGTTACCACCAGGCCCAGCCTTCCTTAATCCCAGCTGCATTAAGCAAACACGCAGTTTAGAAGAGAAAGTACACTTCGTAGCATAATTTTCTATAAAACCCATGAGCCCCTGTGTTTAAACAGAGTATTTCAGCCGGGGTTGGAGCACATTTTGTTGCCTATAGGAGGAGCAGTTTGACATTTTATGTGAGGAGAGAGGGTCAGGATAATCATCATACATCTTGTGAAGGACCTTTATAGTTAGATAACATTTCAGCCACAGCTTTTGTATCACCTTTGAAGACTCAATTCAGGAAATCTACACTCATTTAACAGGTATGAATAACTAAATACCCACTCCATCATACATGAACTAGAAGAGGGTGAGATGATCCAAATGAGGCTTGAGAAAATGAAACTGTGTTAAATAAAGCTATTTTGAGAATGGTGAATCAGCAAAAGTATTTAAGCCTGATTATACTTAATTCCTCCCATTAAATTCAGACCCAAATATGCCTCTTACTTCTTTAACAGCTGTAATGAAAACAGGAAAGGCAAAACTGACGACTGGAATTAGACATATTTAGCTAAGTGCTGTGTTTCCTTTGGGCCGGGTTTCTAACTAAGAGATGTGAGAGCAAATACACTAATATCAGCTCTCTCTGCTGTAGGTCGAATTTTTGGGGGAATTCAGGGTCGACAAATCTAGACATTGTAAAGAAATAAACTCAGCCTCACCTCATCTTTGTCGACATCTTCATCTACCTCAAAGACATGGACAGCCAGTTTGTCAGGCCTGGAAACTTTGCTGTAAAATAAAGAATTATTATGAACAGGCATGTATAATATTTATTAACACAATCAGAAGCTACAGTGTCAAGAAATATAATAGATTACTACTGTATGTACGGGTAAAGTAACTGCACACTATGCTACTGCACTTGGGTTAGTTAGTTAGTTAGTTAGTTAGTTAGTTAGTTAGTTAGTTAGTTAGTTAGTTAGTTACTTGACACCGTGAAAATATGCTCTTAATTTACCACTTTGGAAAGAGACAGTCTTCTCAAAAGACACATTTATTTGGCAGTACTTGGATATGCATGGCAGTTTTGCTTGCTCGTTTTATTTTCAGTTCAATCTGTTTAGCAAATGTGACCTGAAGTAGTGTGACTAATGTTTCTCATTATTTTGTAGTTTACTTTGATTAAGTACATTTGTAAATTTGTGAGTGTAAAAAAAAAAGGCTGCATAGACACAAAAGCAAGTTCCAGGAGTGTTAAAATGGAAATATGCTAAAGGTAAGAATAACATTCAAAATATTGTGGGGTTTTTAACAGGCGATCCAGGTATTGTTTTAACTTCCCCGGATTCACTACAGTGACAGGACATTTGGCGGCAGTGACAGTGTCGAGATCATAAGGTCATTGTCAACTCATATTCCAACACATTGGCAGTACAACAGATATTCTTCAGGGAAGAGGCTGAAGCTGATGACACAATCTAAAGACAATGAGGGTGGTTTCCACACTGTCTGTAGCCGGGAATTATCCAGTGCATCATTAAAAAGGAAACGCTCTTATGTTGTGGGGAAATAAGAATTATTTGCACGCTGCGTTTCCCTGTAATTAGGTCACAACAGCATTTTGTCAAAAGTAGGAAACAAAAAGGTGACAGTTTGTCTAGGTGACATGAAACACAAAAACATGCGTGACTTTGTGTTTTATTTAAAAACCTCTGGCATGCATACATTATATACAGAAGCTGTTCTTACTTGGCCATCGTAAGAATACCTCGGCACACTACAAAACTATCTCCTTGAATATATTGTACAGAAATGCAGAGGTTCTTCAAACACAGACTTACTTTGGAAGCTGACGAAAGTCTCCAGAAAAGTCCTCATACTTGTAGTTGACAGCATGCCAGTCAGATTTGTAGGTCTTAATGCACTGAGGAGACAATGGAAACACATTACAGACCATTATAACATACTGTAAAATACACAGGAGAGTTGTACATCAGGGTTTTGTTAAGTCGTCAGGGCCAAAATAACTACTTTGTGTTGTGTGAGGATGGGGTTTTAGACTATTTTTAGACCACCATCTGCCCTGCACTTTGATTGAAGCATACTGACTTAAAAAACGACCCTGCATGATGAAATTATGCAAAAGATCAAAAATATGTATCGTCTTTATGTCTCTGAAAGACATAACCCACAATGCAGCTCAACCGCAGAGAGCTCTGTCAAATGTTCTGGTTTGCTAAGCTAAAAGCGGCTAATCATTTATTTTCAAACTTGAAGGGAAATGTTCACGATTTTGCACAGCTTCTTCTGGATCCACAAAAAGCAGTAGGCAGACAAATAACCCTTCCTTAAACCATTCGACTATTTTTTGAATGCACTATTTGATGTATTTTACCTTTATGTCAAATATATTGTGTGTTGCAAGAGTTTAAGTCTGAAGACTTTCATTGCCAAAACCTTGATGTAGCTAATGTGAATATGACAAATAAAGCCTTTAAAAATAAATGTATAAAGTATTTTCCTACAGTTGTTTTTATGAATCCCAAGAACGCACACTCAAAATACATAGGTTGTTTTGATCAACAGTTAAAGCCTTTATGCAGTGAAATTCTTAAGGAGTGTACTGTCAGTGGTCACGCTCTGTCAAACCATCCATTAGTACAAACTGGGAGGGAGTGTATCTCTATCTCCCTTTACTTGGAAAACATCTGTTCATTGTTAGAGTCAGTGATGGGAGCAGCTCTCTGGTATCTGTTCTGCAGAAATGAGTGCCATTTACAAGAAATACCCTGACAGGGAGACCAAGTGCAACCTGATCAGGACAGCGATCGGAAACAGAGAGGCTCCTGCTGGGCTGACCCACACAGCTGTCCCGGTGATGTCACACAACACTTGACCGGGAGTTTTAGTATCTTTATGACTTCAGACAATGCTGCCTAAACCCTGACCCCTAACCTGGAAGGTGAATTGCCAGTTGGTGTCTGGCATGAAAAGACAGTAAAAGCAGTGTTCATGGCCGGATGTTAAACTAGTGTGATGTTTAAAGGAAGAAACATTTCCCGTTTTGTAGACATGATTTCTAATTTTAGCTGGAATTAACATTGTTTCAGTCCAACTGCAATGAAGTTACCCAACATACAAAGAAGCGTCAATGTGTGTTTTTAAAAACCTTTGTTTAATAGTAATGTTCTGCATTGTAAACCAACACTGACAGACAATAACCAGGAGTGATGATAAACTTTAGGACTGTAGAAATGAATTACACTTATCATTCCTACCTCCCTGCTAGATATAACTGAGGAAACACAGTAATAGTCTGGTTACAGTACCTCCTGCAATGATCTGCAATGAATTAAGATACCATTTACAGAACACTTAAAGTTAGATGAATGCTTTGTTTAGGTGAAATATGTTGGAGGAGCCTGTGACCTGAGATTTTCATTGTCATAACTACACTGTAGCTATGTTCTTATGACCAATAAAAGCCTTGAACCTTGATAAAGAGGTTTCCTTATTAGCAGTGATGTCCACCTTGCTGCTTATGTTAGGTAACAAATTGGGTGATCTGTCACATTAGTGTCACGATTCGTTAGCGGTGTGTCTGTGTTGTTTACGTGAGAGTGATATACTTTCCTAACCACTACCTAATGTATTTCTTATAGATTTTCCACCTATTGATACCAGTTTTCTAATGCTCTGTATTTAAAAGAAAACATTTTCTATACTTTTGTATTCAGTTGTAGTGCATGAAGTATTTTTTAATCAATTGTCTTGTGTATAATAGATCTTCATTTTGTGAATCTTTTTATGTATGCTTTGTGTTTTTTTATTTGTGTTAATACACACCTGAACAAAGTATATGGCATAATCATCAAGATTATACAGACTTAACAGTGTACATTTCCAAACTGTTCAACATTTTTTTTTTTAATCAAGTCCAGATTGATTCACTTTCTTCCCTCTGAGCTCTTCCAGAACAAAAACTAAAACACAGATATCTCTAACGTGAAATAACGAAACTGGCAGGCAAAGGTTCTGTTTACATATGACCCCATTAGTCACACTAAGCAGTTGATTAAGTAAATGTGTTTTTAGGTTCTTTAAATCAGCTTACCTCCTGGACGAACACACTCTGGGCCTCCCGCTCTGCATTTTCCGGCAGCGTAGGGTAGAGGGTTCTCCCTTGGCGTCTCAAAATTGAAATCTGCAAAACAAAACAATGTTTTCTTTCAATAAGAGAAACAGAGCAGGCGAATTACAACAACTATGACGGTAAGAATGAAAGCGAAATGTGGAAGACATTGCTCAAGCTGGACACAAAGTTTATAACAGTTTATGGTCTCAGCTGGACACATTTGATCTTGGTGTTCTTTTAAATATTATTGTATGATTGAAAAATGGCTTTCTGAGTGTTCAAAGGGGCACTGTGTGAGGGAGGCAGGACGCTGGTCCATACTGTTCAGCTCCAGGAGCCACAGACACACCCTGAGTCTGGCTCTCTGCCACTGTTGTACAGCAGCACCAATCAGCATCTCAGCACTGCTAATGCTTTATTCAAGCCTCTTACTAATGACCAACAGATCCACAGTGCACTGTAGTCAAACAGCAGAAACAATCAAGACATCTATCTTGTTTTTTTTCATATTAATATCACAAATTTGACATTTTTCTAAGGGGGCTTTACAGTATGTACATACGACACCCTCTTTCTTTAGACCCTTGCAACATACAAGGAAAAACTCCCAAGAAACCCCACAATTAATGGGGAAAACAGAAAACATAGAGAAGCCAAATGTTCAAATAATAATGTGAATGTATACACAAATAATTAAAGATGGATCCAGGTGGATGTCAACTTACAGGTGCCTCCAAAAATAATAAGGTGGGCATCATCAAACAAGGGGCAACAAGAACAAGACAAATAAGTTAGAGCCTCAAACCAAGACTAACAAACGAATCAAACTTGAGTAAATCTCAGCTGTAAATCTCCCTCTCAGTGTAACCACAAGGCCAGTTTTAGCCAAGTGTGAAACTGAATAAAATACCGCTTTGTGCAACATCATCACCATGAGGTCTTAGCAGGAGGATTAATTTAAAAATAAAGTGCATTTGACCACACATAATCCCTGTAAGCAAGAGTGAAATATGAATACAACCATTAAGTGAAGCATTCAGCTGACTGAGTTAAAAGGGTTTGTGGCTTTGTGCGAGTCAAATACCGGTCAGCTGTGTTTTCTGGGTTGAGAGGGATGTAGACAATACCCCCATTATCTTTTCCCCACACATTTATATGGAAATGAGAAGCACTTTGAGTAGAAGTATTCCATATCATAAGGTTACTGTCCAAATTGCTACACACTTAATCAAATGAAAGTACTTTGACCACATAGTAGTGTGTGTCGCAATTAAAGAAAAACACATTAGTCAAGTTTCTGCCACAATCAGTCAAATGTGTTTATAATCCCAAACCTTTAAAGTATCAATTCAATCCATTGATCCCTTGTGAAAATCAAGTTGATGAGATATAAAACATTTTTTAAGAATAATCAAAAATATTATCATTATAACTTTCTAGCTTCTATCACAAGACCTCATAGTTTAAGTAATTGTAAGGATTATTAACACACTACGGTGAGTTTTTACCTAATATTTTTCACATTAGTATCTCTTAGAGATTTTAATAGAGTAAAAAACACCAAACCTCTTGTTTGAGCTTCTTTAAGGTGAGGGTTTGTTGCTACCTCTCTTTTCTTTGTTTAGACTATGGCAAACTAATTGACTTTGGTCTTTGGACTTTAATGCACATTTTTCACCATTCTCTGACATTTTAAAGACCACATCATTTATGAAGACTACTCAAGATAATAATCAGCATATTCATCTATAAGGACACTCAAATGCTAATATTTCAGTGTTGTGTCACTCTCCCTATAAATGACCTTGTATTTCCTCCGAATGACCTTGTATTTGACTCAGCGCTGGTCGTGTCAACTACGACAAATTCCACACCGAACTTGTGAGTGTAAACCTGACGTCTCCCTTTCCTCTAACCTAGCCAGGTTTCCTGCAGGGGAGATGATAATCTTTACAATCCAAGCAGCAGAAATAAACAGGCATGGAGGTAAGAGAGAGCCAGGAAGTTGGCAAAGGAAGCATTTAATCGGGCTACAGGTCAACCGGGAGAACCGAGGGATTATCTGATTAAATAAACCCTAAATTACAACATTGTTGTAGTCGATTCTTATTATCAACAAATCCCATTAATAAACTAAATCAATAATACCTTTTCCAAAAATAAAATCATATTTCTATGTACCATAAACCCCTATTGTTTAAAAAAAAAAGAGAAGACAACATGAGCTACTCGTTGCACTCGGTGTTCCTTTATTTATAGTCAATTCCACAAACACTTTCCAACTGCTGAAGATTCTTAGGTATCAATACTAATGCATCAAGTCTGTTGCCGAGTGTAGTCCCAAGAAATAAACATATAACTACAGTTTGAGAAATGTTTGCTAAAAACTACGTATATTATATTAATAGTAAATGTAATACCATTTTAAAAGAAAGATTAGGAGTCAACACTCATGCTAGCAGCTTTGCGTACATGTACTTAAGCACATCAGTCACATGTGCTGGTTCGTTTTCATACAAATGTTATTATTCACCACATAGTGGGGCAAAAGGAGTGCCAAAGTGGCATTTGGGAGCAAAATATAAAAAAAATATAACCAGCTTTGTCCTTTCAAGACATATAAACTGTAATGGCTGAGGTAAAGGAAAAATAACATTATCCTGATTTGTGGAATTTAAGCTGGGGATGGGCCTTACACCTGAGGGAAGGAAGGGCCCCATCCCCCGGTAATCCTCAACAAATTTCTCCAGAAACCTTGCGGGTAAAGCACTGAACAGAGCTGACTTGTGCCAACAACTGTTCAAATCTAAACCAGATGGAGATTATATAAATACTGGCTCACACAAAAGCCGTACCTGACAACACATGACTCGTAATGTGCCAGCTGGGATAAGATGAGGACCTGATTGTAAATTCTGTCCTTGAGGAGCAGCCAAAAACAGGTTTTACACAAGAATAACAACACAGTCAGAGGAGCTATTTATGCCTGTTTTGGTATTCATTCATCCCCAAGTAACACATGTATACTTTCTACTGTCTCTATGCATTTGAGTTTTCTACATGACTCCACACTGCCTGTCTCCTCGCACTAAAATCAGCTAACATCGAAAAGGCCTCGACACAGAAGCTGATTGAAACCTTGCTTGAGTCCGTGGGGGTCAAAACAGATGTTTAGTTCAATCACTGTGATTGTGGTGTTTTATTCTCTCGGTCAGAATCACCTGTCAGTCCCTGACAACGCACTGTTTGTGTGTAAAGCTACTATGTTATGCTCATAGCAGCAGGCTGGAGGAGCATGACACAAGAGAGGACAAAGTCAAGGCTGCCATGCCTTCACCGAGCACACAGCTGCCAGACCTTTATGATCTGTAACAACCAATAGCTTTAAACAGAAGCAAACAGCCATTATCAGCAGTACAGTAACTTAAATCCCTGTTACACATTTAACTATTAAGATAGCTTTGGTGATCTGGGTCAGAAAGTGTTTTTTAGATCAGATATGTACAGGGGAAATTACTGTTACTGATAAAGTGTGCATTAATATAGTTTATTTTCCTTTCATTATAAACTAGCAACTAAGAAACTAACATTATCATACAATGTGTTTCCGTTTGGTTATTAACTCAAGGGCACTTCAGAGATCCCGAGTATGACGGTATCAAATAAGATGCATATCCTTCTGACTTCCTGGAAAGAAAAGCCTTTTGCGTGAACATTTTGAAACTTTTTGTCTACTCTATCCGAGCATTTGACTCCCACTACAGCTGTGGTGGAAGATTTTTAGAAAATGTCTTTATGTCCTCAGTGGCTTTCACTTCAAATCAAAATGCAACTTCTCCTTCCACATGACCATCATGGCACTTTAGAACGTTTTGTAAAATGTGTTCCTGTAAACAGTAAAAGCATTACTGCTTTGTACTTTGTACTGTCTTATGTGGTCATTCAGCAATAACAATAAAAGAACATTTCAACTGGATCGTGAGACAGAGCTGCAGGGTTCAGATTTGGTTCCTGCGCATCTCGCTGCTGCTGTTGGTAAAAAAACAATTTCGATCAGGTTTCATTTCCTGAAGAACCAGCACTGGGCCAGATTTCCATTTTAGATTTTCCATCCTCACCGTGGAAAGTGTGGGGGGAGCGTACGTCCTGTACAATGTGGCTGGAGATAACACTCGCTTTGTCACAACATTGGCGACAGAATGAGCCAATTAAACAGATGGCCCCTGACCCCTCTCTCTCGCTACAACGTGGAAGGATGTAAACAAAAATAAAACCTCTGTGAACAACCCCACCCTGCACTCACAGCGCCGGCCACGCCTGGGCCAACGGGAAAGACGCAAACACATAAAACAAACAAAACACGCAAGTGGGTGGGTTAAAAATGATGTTAGAGAAGCAACAATAAAAAGAGCATCTTCTAAAAAATTACTCTTTAATCACTTACAGTATAAGCAATTAGGCTTTGACTTTTCTCTCCCGTTATTTATTCGATAGTTTCCACCAAAAACGCCCCACTATTCACAGCATGAGTAGACACACTGGAAATCAAAGCCCTAACTCTGGCAGTGACCAGTCCCTATACTAAACACAACTACTAACTATACCTCACTTCCATCGTTAAAATCATACTCCTCAGCAATATAATCCCAGCAACGATACACACAGCCAGATTTCCTGAATGAAACGGGTGTGAAACTCACCTCAAAGTCCTCCAGGGGGAACTGTAGCATGTCCCGGAGGACATCACTGAGGATCTGTGTCTTCCTCTGCACCAACACATTTTCATATTCCAGCGGCTCGATCACCTTTGGCTTCACCTGGAGAACACAGAGAAAGTACTCGGTTACTTTTCATGTATGCAAAGACATAGGAGGAAATGTGGCTATTTTATTAACTGGATCGAGGAGAGAGATGACAGGAAATGAGGGAAGAGAAGGATGACATGCAACAAAAAACTGGGCACGTTGCAGTTCAACAAAACATATGGCAGATAAATCCCCCCCAAAACTTAAGCTCAAAGTGCCAAACAACAAGAAATAAGAATATAAATCAAATTGAAAAAAGGGGAAATGTGCAATGACATTTTATTTATAACCAAGTAGATGATAAAAAAAGAAATGAAAGTAAAAATAATAGAAATTAAGCATATAGTTGTGCAAAGGAGTAGAGCTAATAGTTAGAGTTGTGCATTGACCGGCTTCTACTGTACATTGAGTTTGATAGCCAGCTGCTCCCACATTGGGCTTTACTAACACATGCTATATATGTCATATTCCATAAGTCTATCAGGGCTCCATCTGCTAAGAGTAAATGCATCTGCCTCAGCAGTGGGAAGGTCTTGATGAGCTTATCCCTCCGTGAGAGCGAACACGCATGACATATATGCCAAGGAAACAATCACACTCCACTTCAATTACATGCACCATATGAAACACAATTATGCTTCACATCGTTAAACAAACAAACAAACCTCCAACATCCTCTTTTACTTTCATCCTACTTGATGAGAATCCCTTAGTTTGTAAATGTTGTTTTAAAGCCGACTCTCAGGAGCAGATGTGGTTATTAAGAGGTGATTATGGATTTATGGTACATTACGTGAGTGTCTGCATAATGTTAAAGTATCGACCCACTAAAGCTGAGGATTGATAGAGCTTACACACAGTTACAGTAGCCATTAGATGGAAAGTCAGCTGTCAACACCTTTAGCAGGACGGGAGGATAAATCTTACGTCCCGAGAAACAGCCGAGTGCAAAATGAACAGTGACGTATCGGCCGATTTCAGAGCTGAGCGACGGCTCAGCCCACATGTTGCCTCCACATCTGGAACTGATAATACTAGCATGATCTCAGAGGGAGAGTCATGGATATTGACCTGCTTGAATACATGTTGCTAGCAACTTTGTTAATAACAGCTCACATTGAGGACAGAGGAGGTACGACTGGTTTCAAGGACACGGAGGGGATATCAGAGCAGGGATGGTGCCACTAAGTCTACCAGCTAAAGCATGCTGGGACATTATCAGTCAACCGTCATTCACAGCTTAAACTGAACGTAACACAAATAGAGTTACAAATAAATACAATCACACATCAACAAACTGTATTCTCTCTCTTCCATTGAAGGGATTAAGTAAAGGTCTGATGCATATCTGTTTCCAGGCAGGACAGGTACGTCAGGAAGGATTTAAAGATGTCTGAGAGATAAGATGTGTGTCTGTTTCTCGCTTGAATTGACCTAAATTGCGTAAAATCTTTCTACAAACACCAGCCTGTATCAGACAGGGAACCCTTAAAAAAACCCAGGCACATACAGAAGCTTTGTCGTTATTTACTAGGTGAAAAAAAACCTTGACTATGGCAAGTACGGGGAATTAACCAACATCTTCTGAAAGTAAGAGGGAGTTAAGGTCAGAAGTGAAAGGAGTTGATAATGTACAGCTTCGGGACGTTCAACACCATCAAACAAAGACAAAGGGAGAGTCACGAGAGAGAAAACAGCAATTAAAAAGGGATTCTGATATTCAAAGTAGCTTCTAAGATATTTGACCCCATTATAGAGATAGTGCCCTTTTCTCACCAGTGATGGATTCCTGACCTCACGCTGTTGTTGCTGACTATTGTTTCACTCCAAACCCCTCTGGGCTCTCCCACATTGTCAGTGGTCAGTGAAGGTGGTCAACCACACAGTACACTCAGCACTGAGCAAGAGAATTAACAAACATACAGTGCCATGTAAGCAACTGCTCTGTCATTCCCACAAAACCAACATGATGACCCTTGTGAAACACTTTTGTTGTATCATTGTCATACCTCAGAATAGGCTTATTAAGAACACTTGTTGAGTCCATGTCTCTGAAACTGACAATAGTCCTGTTTCTAGTGTCTTTATAATACACCATAAACTATTTTGAACACAGTTAATGGTAAAATAAGTCCAGAACAATGCAAGCTGTATGTTTCACATCTGTAGGGTTAAGTGAACAGACAGTCGTGTTTGGAAAGCCTATAAAATAGAAACTTCTGAAGTCATCTCTCTACAGTGATCCAGCAGCTGTTTAGCTGCAGCACCACTCCTCCCATCACTGCACCCTCACTTCCATGAACAATGGTGCTGTGTAGTGCCTCTCCACTCACTGATACATTCAATCTTGTTGCTACTGTCTTCTTCACATGGCCCTGCAGATTTAACACTGGGACACCTTGTTCACAGGGGAGGAAGTCAACACTGTTGTCAGAGTTGACTTTTGATCCAAATAAAGATGTTTTACAAGCCAAGGTTATCTTAAAAAATAAACTTGAGGAAGCTGGTTGCCTCCAGGTGTTGGTAAAGTTCAACATTCCTCTATGCTGTTGCTAAAGTTCCACTTTCTGATAGTGAGTGCAAATGAAAGAGATTTGAAGCAGACGTTCACATGACACCTGTTTTGGGACTTTATGACTGTGGTTAACCTTTGGAGCGATGCACTCTAAACAATGTCCTTACAGATCATAACAAGCTTTTTTAAATAAATCAAAAAGGTCTCACATGTTTTTTTAAATGAAAAGTCTTTCAATGACTTACCACCACCTGTGGCACCGAGTCTACCTCAGTCTCAGCTGATGCCAAGCTTGTGTACTGCTGCGGACTCTCAATGACCAACTCCTTCTTTGGAGATTTATTAGCCCTTCCTTGCATTGTCAACAGCTGTGGTAAGATATCTCCGAGCTAGATCCCAAAGAGAAGTGAGCAGCCAGCATATCCGATGGAGAAAATCCTAGCGATCAAGTTTGCATTTCTCCTCACAGACTCACACACCCTCCCTTCTCAGACTGCTCTGTCTGACTGAAAGCAGTGGACTCACACACAGACGGAGGACATGGCCCCTCCTACACTCAGCTGTGCTGCCTGGGGGAGTTAAAAACCCTCACACACACACACATACAAAGATATCTGACCCCACACTATCCACCTGCAGTGACACAGGGTTGACAAAAGGCAAACAAAAGATATGCATTCCTCAAGTATTACAGTGTGGTCAGGGACTGTCCACGCCTTGTGTGGGACAGCTGTAATAAGAGCTGGCTTGAGTTTCATAAAGGAGAACAAGCTGGGAGAGAATGGGACAACAATGGGGCACTTCGTGTTACATTCAAAGAAACCGCCCAAGCGTCTACATACAGTGTGAGGGCACCAAGTGAAGAATCGGCTGCAGCGATTTAGAAGTGATTTCTCCTGTAAACATCACATATAAGCTGCCAGGCTCATCCGATTGGAGCAGGCGCTTTAGAGACAACATGGACAAATCTTGACCCGCATTAACTGCTAAAGACTGAAGAGCAAATCATTAAACTCAATCTGAAGCAACGCTGCTGTATATATCAAGTTAGTCATTATCAGTGTAGCCTGCAATCTTAATGTAGCTCAATGGATAGTCCACCGAATTGCATTTGCATTGAACAATAAAATGTCTACTCCTGTTCCTGCAGACTTTGATTGGGCAGAATGTAAAGTTGCTTCTGGCCATTTGAGGGAAAACTGTCTTCAACCCTTACATAAAAACAGAGTGTGATATGGTAAACAAGAATGTGTTTTACAAATATGAAACTGTCCAAAGAATTGTGGTTTGAGGAGGGGTGGGAGTGCACTGCATCGTCTGCAGTGAGCATCCAAAGTGGAATTTTGGTTAGGATAAACATCCAATGAAATGTAGCTCATTAAAATCCCAAATATAATCCTTTTTTTTTTTACCATTTTTCTTTCTGGAAAGCACCTGCTTGTGATTCATTTTACTTTAGAAAAATGTAATTTCAACAGTGATATGTACATTATAAAAAAAGTGATTTACAGCACACAGGTATCTGAGACAGGAAGTGTACCTTGACTCACTCTGACGCTTGGTGAGCCCACATGCACAGGAAGATAATCATGTGTAACTCACCCTACGGAGCCTGCTTGCACCTGATGTGGAGGATAAGCTTATATCTCTAAAACACACACAGACAACCAGCATAGATGTGGATCAGTGACAGAGGGCAGCTCACTTTATATTCATATTTTCTGATGCTGTCATCCAAATGTTCTTTTTGATGTGCCAGACAGCACTGATATGATCTCTACGTCTGTCTGTGAAACCTTGAGGGCATCATGGTGCACCCCAATACCAATCCCTGTGTGGGGCCCATAGGGTCATGTGACTATGAGAGGGGAGCAGCTGACCTGCCCCCCCCCCCCGGCCTTAGGCTTAGATACAGGCGTGAAAAGACAACATCCTCCCCTGCTGTGGCCCTCTGAGGAATCTGCAGGTCGGGCCCACTCCTCTGTGGGTCGACTGGGCTGCGTCGTGCTGGAATTCCCCTCAAGCAGTTGCATCAACAAGCAGCGAGACAGAAGCTCGACCTAAACACAATCTCTCTGGTTACTAACGGTTACAATCTCAGCTGCAGTCAGAGCCAGCCGTGAAAACGTCAGTGACTCATTTGACTGTGAGTTTGTGATGATAACTCACTTACATTGTTGGACATTTCCTTTAATGTAATTGTCCATAGAGAACTAATTGTTTGACTTTGATCTTTGAGTTTAAACAAAGACGGCTTCCTCTCCCAGATATCTCATATCTGCAGTGAGAAAAGAGATAACTATCTTCAGACACTTCCCCTTTTACTCCGCAGCCCTGGTATAGAGGTGTACACATGGTTGCCGTGGCACAGTTCTTAAATTAAATTCCGACCTTGTAATGTCATGCAGATTTTATCCATGGAAACCATTTCAAATGTGTTTCTTTGGGGCGATTTGGCTGAGCAGGAGGGCCCACTGAGCCTTTTAGTGGCAGAACAAACACTTGTGTTGAGCAACAAAGTTTTCCAATGGCCAAAAGCAGATGGACAGGACGTTTTAGAAAAAGTGTTTTTTTGCTAAAAAAGGTTAAGTATGCCATGTGTTGTAATGAATTGGAAGTAACTATCGGACACAAATAGATTGTTTCTTTGATGACTCAGTACAGAGGGATGAAACACAACTGAGGTCTGTAACTGGGCAGAATGTCATTTTTAATTATATTATTCTTCTGGTTTTGGCATTGCCCTATAACGCTATACAAGACTGTGATGTTTTAATTATGTCAACACTAAGAGCAATAGTGGCTTTATTTGAATTCCCATGCAACATCATCTTGCACAATAATCAAATGTAATCAATCTTTCTTTATACATGTACATATAGTAACATTTGTTTTTAATTACAGTGTTGTTGACCAGTCAGAGTGTAATAAAGCTCCTTTAACATTACCACGCCTGAAGTAATGCTATACAATGTGTCCCTAGGAAGACATTTACCCAAACATTTGAACTATACTGCTGTTGTATGTACATTACAATACTTAGTGCATAGTATTATAGTTGTCTGGATTGAGGTGGTTTCTTGTTCTCATTGCAGTTTCATTTGTTTGTCGTTATTGTTCTGCAACTCTTTCACATTTGTATTTTCTTCTCCATCAATCATGTTGTAATGCTCAGCTTGGACATGACTATGGCCGGGCCTCTTGATTACATAACACAGGCTTGATTCAATCTCCAGGCCATCCCAGCATGAGCCAAAACAAAACAGGGTGTAACCTGGAATGCAACAAAAACACGGCCCACCCCTCGCCGCCCCAATACAACACCACCAGGACCCACCATCCTGAAGCCTGTTTTCAGTCCATCCCCGAGAGAGGCCTGGACTGTGAGCTGAGAATGAGATTTTAACATGGAGGTAATAATGACACTGTAGCGTGTCTACACCCTCTGTTAATAACGTTACTGCTGTAGGACGTGGGATACAATGGCATCAGAAACAACAGGATGTAATCATGAGGCAAAGACAGTCGTCTCACACAACAATGTATGGAGACAATACTGTACAATATACTATATATATGTTGTTGTAATACCTAAAGCTAAATACAGGTAGAGACGAGAATTTAGGGCAGTTTTGATCAGTGCACGCCTTAAATGTAACAAAAAGTATTGAATATTAATAATGCTGCTGTGTGCAAAACATCTAACTGCTGTTGCCAGAATTTATTTTAAGTATGAGCCTGAGTGCTAGAGATAATGGGCCAGTGTATCAGTCAGCAGGACACACACACACACACACACACACACACACACACACACACACACACACACACACACACACACACACACACACACACACACACACACACACACACACACACACACACACACAAATCCTGAGAACAACATCAGGGTGGCTGAAACGTCTCAAAAGAAGGATGCAATCAATCACCAAGAAAAACATCCCTGTCGCCAATCAAAGGTTGTTTTACCGTTAATCCATTAAGCTAATGCATACGAGCTGTATTGATGTAATTGGTTGTCAATGTCATCAATAATGTGAGCACGGTTTGAATGTAATGCTTGGTCTCTGTCAAATGTTACATCTTTAACAGGGTATGTGCAGGAATGCTGAAGTCAAATGTAATACCTTTTAAGACCTTTTTTGAAACCCTTTCCATACATTTTAAGACCTCATCGCCACTTTGAGTTTTAACCGGTTACATTGGCGACACACTTTACCTCACATTTACTCTATACAGTATTGATTGTCCTTCCTCCTTATCTTCCAACCATTTGGACGCAAACTAGCATTTCCCCATAACGATGTTGTTTAACAACCGGCGTAAACGGACCTTCGCGCGCTATCAAGCAGTGAGCGTGCGATGTCCTGTTCAGATGACGTCAAATCCAACGGGATGCCATAAATAAACTACACAGAATCACACTACACACCTACGCAATGATTACATTCAGGCACACTGTAGAATACAACCTCTTTGGAGAATTTATATACTTATTGAAAACAAGCTACAAAATGTAATACCTTGGAAAATGCCATTTCATAATTTTTAATAGCCTTCATTTTCAACTTTTAATACTTTTTAAGACCGATCAAAAATAGCAGACTAAATATTTATTTTGAGATAAGAGAATTACGATATAAGCATTAAAACTAAAGTTGATCTATATCGTAATTCTCTTATATCTAAATAAACATTAAGTCTGCTATTTTCGATGGGTCTTAAAAATGTATTAAGAGTTGATCCTCTATAAATAGACAAAAACAAGCAAATAGTAAAACCATTCTTTACAATTGGATATTTCTGTATTGAAATGACGCTCATTAGTGAGGCCAACTTCTTAATTGACATACATACACATTAATACATAAACTGAATAAATGTAAACATTAAAAAAATATATATGTTATTTAACTGCTGATAAAGTTTAACCTTTTTTAATTGAATATTGTAAAAAAACTCATATTTATTTATTTTCGAATGTATTTATATACATAAATAAGTAATATCCTCCATTTTATGTGAAGAGGACAACGATTTCACAATGTCATATTAAACACACATGTTTAGACCAAGAGTATGACGCATCTTAGTCAAGAAAGAAAGGAGAGCATTAGTCAAGAAATTCAACTAATTAAATGGATAAAATATGTGAGTGGTTTCTGGTTGATGAGATGCAGACCTGGTAAACTCCCCAAAATGAAGAACTTATAAACAAAGCACAATCGACTCATTAGGCAGGGTTCATTGAAAGGAAAACAATCATAGGTCCAAGTTAGAAGAATTACTCCCCAAACATAATCGGATAAAAAACGCTTTTATGTGTGACCAAGCTGACGTCACAGCTTTCCCTTTCTTTCCCAAAAAAACCATCCCTCTGATAAAACTGGCAGACGATTCAGCGCTTCAGTTACAGCATTCAAACATTGCATAGAAATAAAGGAAGGAAACTGAACTTTTGTGAAAGCAAAGAATGACGATACATTAACGCTGAGAGGTCTAATTGATAGCTTTCTCAAGAGCATGAGAGAAAAACAACACTGTCGAAATAGAACAGCATACACATCCATGCATTATCTCAAACCAGTGACTTTAATTTGTGGAGGCAGATCCCTTCCTGAGGGAGAACGAGATGCGAGTTTCCACAAGGAAGGAAAAGGCAGAGCTGTTGCAATCAGCGAGTGAAATAACAGAGCAGTGTTAAAAGCCCTAACAGGTCATTTAATTACTTATATCCATGCATAGAGAGTACAGATCACTTTCCCACACACAGCTTTGTCTCTGAGTGTGTGTGAAAGTGAGTGTGTGCCTGGCCTCCAACCCCATAATCCGGTTTTAAATTCCCCCCAAATAATTACCTGCTGCAATCAGAAGGATTGAAAGGATAGACATTAGGGTGTATATCCTTTTATAACCTAATGGATTAAAAATATGCAAATCGTGATGAGGAAGGACATCCTGTACCGGACCGTGTTTAATGCTGCTGCTGAAGTCAGTGTCACAAAATAAGATTTGGACCCTATAGAGGTGCCCACAAACTAAAATAAAATGTTGTCAGATGAGTCGAAGCGGACAACATCTTCAAATAAAACAGTTAGTTGTGTGATAACAAGCACAAAACACACACACACACACACACACACACACACACACACACACACACACACACACACACACACACACACACACACACACACACACACACACCTTGAGTACTCTGGGTGTTGGGAAAGCTCTGGACTCTCTCCGGCTCAGCGCCCTCTCAGCCTCAGACGGCCCGATGGGCTCCCCTCCCTTACAGATGTAGTCGCTACAGTTCCTCTCTAACACTGTGCGCAGCCCATCAAACACCACCGCGCTGGTGGTGCACCCCATTCCTCCAGGTCCAAACAGGCATCAGTCAGGAGTGAGTGACCCAGTTTCCTCGCTCGCCCCCTGCTCCTCCCTTGTCCATGATCTCTGACTCTGACCTGCAAATCCACAGCTCCCGACCCGGGGAGAGTGCACTGGCATCCGGGCAAAAATGATCCAGAAAAGAGAGCCAAGGAGCACAGCTGGAGGATGAGTTTATTCAGTCTCACTGTAATTCTTAGCTGCCCCAGTCTGAGCTCGCAGGAATACCTCAGTCAGCGGACGAGATACAGTGAGTGAGTGAGAGAGAGAGAGAGAGAGAGAGAGGTAGAGCAGAGAGCGAGGGATGGGGGATGAAGGATGCTGTGTGAGCTCTGCTGCAGCTCCAACCAATGCTGAGCCTCGCATCTCGCTTACTATTATGTACTATCTAAATTCTCCCTATCTTCATTCTTTCATATCCACATTTACATAATGTAAAATTGAATAGACATTAAATGAATCAATCCCTTCAATGTTTTACTCCACAAATTGAGATTCCTTTTGGGAGGCGGATGGATAATTGTGGGATAAATAGGTTAGAAAAACAGAGTCTTATATCCAGAGGGAGTCTGATTCCATGGTCAGGCAAACAGCAATATGGCTGAATGCTTATTTAGTTCAGCTGACAAACTAGAGCCACTGGCAGAACAAATGTATGATGAATCACATTGAATGGTGGCATATGATATGCAGTAGTAAAGTAAGCACCCTACTATATGTTGGAGTACAACAACATTTATTCATTTGTGCATCAACTGCTGCATAACATTTTGTATTAAAACATCAGCTATTTACTGCAGTAATATTCAATCTGTTGGAAACCCTGTGACCCGAGTGGGGAGCCTCAAAGAAATCTGTGTTTACAAAACATACCAAGGACATGGGAGGATTTAAACCTTTTAGGCCAAGACATCAAATAGGGAGTTTTTGTTTTTTTCCAGAAAAAGATTAGCTGCTGCTTGATCACAAGCTGGCCGCTCTGCCAAGAACAGAGATATATTGTGAGTGGAACGACAAAATGTGATCATACAAGGGCTTTTAAAAGGCCAGGGAAGGATTCATTCGCTAGCCTGGCATTTGATTTAAATGTCTCTGGACTTCAATGAGGAGGGCAAAAGATGAAAGCAGGAAGACAGCGAGTATATTGAAAAAAGATTCAATCTTGGAAACGGGCTGGAGAAACACTTTCCTGTCTCTTTAGTTTGTCTTTCTGAAGGGCATCTGAAAAACACTCAGTTCCATATTGTCCTTATTACAAAAAGACATATGCATTCACCTGTGTGATATATGGAGTTCAAACTTCAGTTTTTGGAGAAAAATATTTAGAAAACCCAATGAATCAATTATCTCGAATCTCTTTTACTGAACCTGAAGATAAGCCTCTGCCAAAAGAGCCAATCAAAATGATTTGCATTCACTTCTCCTCCAGCAAGAAGATTAATCCTGTTAAATGTGATGCAAGCCTCCCTCCCCCAACATTTAAACACTGGATCAGAGATACTTGGGGTTCTTCAGCTCAGAAAATATTTGCTTTTCATTGTTCTACTGGCAGATTCTTTAATGTGCTGAAGCCTTTTAACACATATAGTGATTTCCATTTTACTTAGAAATGGGAATTATTCCTATTCTTGCAATCTAAATCCAAATAAGTAGATTTCGGAAAAGACATTTGTCAGACCCATGTTGTCACCCTGCTGTCGTTGCCCGTGCTTCACCCTCTGATAAGGAGGACGAGGGGGGGAAGACAAGGAAACAGGGCAGTGTTCATCTTGGTTTATTTATCTCTGCTTCTTCCCTTCCTGCAGCTGCAAGTCGCACACTCAAAAACCCCTTATGAACTCAATGGGTATTGATAAACATAATCCTGCATGTCAGAGGGGCACGCACATGCTGTATTTACTGAAACGCAGCAAAGTCCACCACAGCCTCCATTACGCTTGGAAACAAACACATGCAGGCATCTATCCAGAAACTTCCTTTTAAAGGTGAAAAACATTCACCTTTTAACAGGTTCCATTAAAAGGTGCTGACACAAGCACACCCTTAAAAACGTTAACACAGGTAAAGAAAAAGTAAAGATCCCTAAATTCATGATGGTGCACTAAGCCGTAACTGCCTGCCTGCATTTCAGCCTGTGTTAATATTTCAGTAGTGCTTGACACACTGAACTACATTCGAGTGTATGATGAAATGAACTGAGAAAAGCAGCTGAGTATATGAGGGGATCCAGAAAGAGAGAGAAATGTAGAGAGATACTGAGAGAGGAAGGGACAAGACTTGCATTATGCATCATTGATCCGTTTGGAAATGTATATCCTTTTTGGTTTATCCCTTTTCCCGCACCTCGGATCAAAGGGATTTTGGGCTTACTCTCAATAAAATAACAAGAGGCAATCATGCAAGAACCGGTAAAACTGCAAAGTCATAAATCCCCTGTTTCAGGCGAACAGAAACTCTTTCTTATTTGTACATTGAGTGCAGATTGCTAACCCAAAATGCGTACATTATACTTAGTTGGAATAATATGCACGTGCCAAAAATCAATGTCATGAGGAAAGTTTGATTAATCTTTTAACGTTATGTTGCATTATCAAGAAGGAACCATCCTTTTCTAATTCAGAATAAATTGTTAGGTTTGCAATAACAAGCTGTGAAACTGCTGCCAGTAATTACTAAGTAGGTAATTTAAACAGGACCTAGAAAAAGAGATCAGTTATGCACAACTGCACACAGACATTGTTTCAATTGTCACAGCTGCTGGGGATCATAAATATTTAGCTCTAAGGACAGGGAGTCTTCTTAAACTTGTAGAAACATGACTGTAACAATGCAAAGTGCTTCTGATAATAACTGCTGGAAGGGTGTTGTATACCATTTCATAATACCTTACATAAACAAAGGTCCGCTGGAATCAAACCCACGATGTGGCTTTTATATGATATGCACCTACTCCCTAGGCCCTCATCACTCAGACACATCTGTTTTGTTGTATGCATGTATCCTAATATAAGACATATATTGCAGGAATAACAGTTGAAACCAGCTGTTCAAGGCCCAATTCTTACAAATCCAAAAACATGTTGTGCCAATACATATTTCCCCTCACACCCCAGTAGAAGTAAAGCCCTCCGACATAATTCAGCTATAAATTAAATTGACTTGTTAGAGGAACGCCCATGAGGCGTGACAGCTGGTTATTTGCATTTCGAAAAGACCTGTGCTTCATCTAATCAGGAAGCTAAGTGAGCGTGGGGTGGTTGTGACTTAAAATGAACTATGAAACATTATGGAGTGTGTTGTAGGATCAACTACAGTATGTAACTACCAGGTCTTAGGTTTGAATCCAGCCCTGTCACTACCATGTTTTCTGTCTACATGTTAAACTATCTAGTGAAAAGAATGACACCATAAAGTTTTGCTGTATTCTGCAACAAGCATACTCTACTGGATATGAATTATTAAGGTAAGAGAGAGGATGCTGAGTCATTAGGCGAAGCAGTTTTGTCTACCCTTGTGTCAAGAAACGCTGTCTGCAGCAAATGCCTTCAAAACAAATGCTTCTAGGAAAGTACAAATATCGTTTAACAGTTTCACATCTCTAGTTGGCTGTGACTCAGTTGAATCAATATAATACGGTTTATGTTACTGCCTGACCATGTATCCATTGCAGTGCCCCTGTGCAGCTTGAGCACATCTACTGTATACTGTGCATGTCTGTAGCTGACAGATGAAGTGGTTCTGTAGCCTCTGTCAGAACACAGTCGGACTTTGTCAGCCATACTAAATGTTGAGCCGGAGCTCCGGACAAGGCTACAGTGAGGATGGTAGGGGGGTCAAGTGAACTGTGGCAAAGAGTGAGTCTTTCTGTGGTTGGTCAAGTGTGAAGCTCCTCTGTGGGATGGGGAAGCTCTGCAAGAATCTGCAACTGCTGAGGAGATAAGAGCGGGGCTGAACCACTGCTGTGAGGAGCTGCATGGATTACTGCTGCTGATTAAGGCTTCACTCCACAGAGTGCTACACTTCCTGGCTTAGTGTTCAATATGATCCCCACAATGTGTTTGACAGTAGGAATTTCTTATAGTTTACAGCTTCAAATTAAACATTCAAAAATATGTCATATTAAGTAAAACATGATCTTCCTCAATATATAATTTAAGGTATTACTTATTATTTCATTACTTGAATATTGGTAACAGCCAATCAGAGTCATTATTGCACATTTTAAACCTTCAACACTTCAAATCAAATCACCCTTATCACTTATTACATAATATTTTCGCAAAACATTCGATTGTTAAAATGAATATATTCTTTTAAAACTGCCTAATATTCTCTAAACAAATATATTTTTTGTTTAATAAAATAATACAAATATACCAATTGTTCAAAAGATTCAGCTGATAGAATGTATTTACTTCCCTCAAATAGCCAAGGTACTTGACAACAATAATTAAAATGCAAAACCATATACAGTATTATACAAAATGTACAATATCAATTATACTTTCAAAGCATTAGCTAATAAAAAAAACAGCCTATCTGCTGCATATGGACACCATCACTGGCCCACAGTAACCCCCAAATAACACCACTTGAACTAACAGAGCATTTTCAAGCTGTTAGCAGCAAGTGGTGGGTGTAGCTGCACAGACAAGATCAAAGCCAGCACATGTGGACAGAGAGGGTCAGCTTGAGTTTCCCCTTTCACACTAAGGAGTGGACAATCGCACAATAAAGACAGAACGGTCCCTGCGTGGCTCGGAGGAGGAGAGGGGAGTTTAAGAGGAGCTGGCATCTCATCTGAGGAGAATCCCCAGGAGTAAGGTCAAGTCCGCAGCTGGCCATGTTTCCATGCCCAGGGTCTGCTGTGGAGCTCTGCAGTGTGAGTGTGAGTGTGAGTGTGAGTGTGAGTGTGAGTGTGAGAGTGTGTGTGTGTGTGTGTGTGTGTGTGTGTGTGTGTGTGTGTCCAGAGAGAAACCACAATGTGGGGCACCACAGTGACATCACCCACATGTCCAACAGTGCAGGGCAGATAAAACCGGCACGGCTCCCAGCTGGAAATCTCTGGGGACTCCAAAAAGGAAGTGGCTGTTTCCTGCTGATGTGTGTGTGTGTGTGTGTGTGTGTGTGTGTGTGTGTGTGTGTGTGTGTGTGTGTGTGTGTGTGTGTGTGTGTGTGTGTGTGTGTGTGTACGCTCCCATAA